ACTTCTTCAAAGAGGACATACAGATGGCCAATAGACATATGAAAAAATGCTCAACGTCATTAATCATCGGAGAGATGCAAATGAAAACTACAATGAGACAACTCCTCACACCTGCCAGAATGGCTGCCATCAATAAATCAACAAATATCAAGTGCTGGGGAGGATGTGGAGAAAAGGGAACCCTAATACACTGCTGGTGGGAATGCAAACTGGTGCAGCCACCATGGAAAACAGTATGGAATTTACTCAAATATTAAAAAAGGAACTACCTTTTGACCTAGAAGTGATCCCACTTCTAGGAATGTATTCTAAGAAGCCCATAACACCAATTAGAAAGAATATATGTACCTCATGTTCACAACAGTGCTATTTACAATAGCTGAGATCTGGAAACAGCCCAAGTGTCCATCAGTAGATGAGTGGATAGAAATGTTGTGGTATATTTGCACAGTGGAGCACTATGACAACATGGGTGGACCTGGAGAGTATTGTGCTAAATGAAATGAGCCAGTGAGAGAAAGACAAATATCACATGATCTCACTTCTATGTGGAATCTAATGAACATAATAAACTGATGAACAAAATGGATCCAGAGGCTTGGATGCATGGAACAGACTGACAGATCCTGGGGGGGGGGGGGGGGGTAGGGAGCGGGAAGAGATTAACCAAAGAATTTATATACATATATGTATAACTAATGGACACAGACAATAAATAGTGTGAGGAAGGCCTGGGATATGGCAGGGGCTGGGAGGAAAGGCAGGGGGGACTGGGGAACATTTGTTATACTGTCAACAATAAAATAAAAAAGAAAGAATGATACAATGGACTAACAGTGTAGAAGAGGACATTAATAAAAGCTGTAAAACTAAAATAGAGAGGAGTGGATGGGTTTCAAGGTCTTTTTTAAGGAGCATTATCTTAGGACTTGATTTCTTTTCTGTCTTATTCATTGAGCTTTTGTCTTATGCTCATGATAGCAAAGAGTAGAAGATGATTGCTGGATTTGTAATTTGAGGTAAAGAATGGGCTGCCTGGATTATATAGACCTATTTGCCATATTATCGCATAATTTAAAAGCTATGTTTACTTGTCCAGCTTTCCCAATAGGCTGAGCAATTTCATCTTAAAGATTTTTTTTAACCCTGGCCGGTTTGGCTCAGCGGTTAGAGCATCGGCCTGTGGACCAGAGAGACCCAGGTTCGGTTCCTGCTAAGGGCGTGTGCCTCAGTTGCAGTCTGTCCCCGGCCCTTGATGGGGTTGCATGGATGGCAACCACTCCATGTGTCTCTCACACATCGATTTTTCTTTCTCTGTCCTCCTCCCTCTCTCCCTCCTGCTCTATCTGAAGATGAATGCAAAACATGTCCTCAGGTGAGGATAAAAATAAGTAAATAAATAAATAAAAAGATTTTTTTTTAGCTCAGCCTACTTTAATAGTCTTTTCTTTCCTCCCTTCCTTCCTTTTTTCTTTCTCTCACTAATTTGTATTTAAGTATGGTTGGAATACAAGTATAGTATATTCTCAAAAGAGTGTTTTACATACAGCATGTTTTTTAAAAATATGTTTTTATGGATGTTAGAGACAGAGGAAGGGAGAGGGAGAGAGAAACATGGATCAGTGACTCTTGCACGCCCCCTACTGGGATCGAGCCCAAAACTTGGGCATGTGCCCTGACCTGGAATAAAACCGCTGAATTTTTGGTGCAAGGGACAACACTCAACCAACTGAGCCACACCGGCCAGGGCATATACAGCATGTTTTTTGTTTAAATATGTTCTTATTGATGTTTTAGGGAGAGAGGAAGGGAAAGAGAGATAGAAACATCAATGTGAGAGAGAAACATTGATTGGTTGCCTCCTGCATGCCCCATATTGGGGATGGAGCCCACAACCTGGGCATATGCCCTGTCCGGGAATCGAACCCAGACCTCTCAGTTCATGGGACAACCCTCAATCCATTAAGCCACATGGGCTGGGGTACAGCATGTTTTTAAAATTAAATTTATTGTGGTAACATTGGTTAATAATATATACATTTCAGGTGTGTAACTTTATAATATGACAACTGTATACTCTATTAGGTGCTCACCACCTGAAGTGTAGTCTACCTTCCATCACCATGTATTAAGGTTTGCTGCACAGAGGAAGAGAGAATAGCTCTTAGCATGGCAAGGAGTAGAGGGATCGCAGAATCTGGTAGAGAGATTTGGGAGTTACTGGAAGAGTCGTTAATTATACTTGGGATTACCTAGAAGAAGTGTATACCAAGGGACTATAAAAAATAATATTTGGAATGTGCTATTTTATATGTACCAGATGAGAACTAGGTAAAAGTGTTTATCATAAGACACTCAATAATTTACATTTTTCCTAGTTGATATCATTTATGTTGAAAAACAAAGTTTCTGCCTCTTCAATCCATTTTACCACACTATGAATATTTCACAATTCAGTCAAACTCTTCAAAGTCTTATAAGGAAGAATGTTTGTTCCACTATGTTTCTAGAAATTGAACTTTAAAGAACTTTCAAAGCTCTTTAAAGGTTTAAAGTTCTATTGATGGATTTGAATTAATGTTTGCTTAACTAATGTTTGAGATTTATATAAGTTCCAGGTGGACCAATATTTAAAAAACAAAACAAAACAATGAAAACATTTTTTTAACTTGGGATATTTGTCTTTTTTGTTATTGAGTTGTAAGAGTTCTATATTTTCCTGTCCTTGCACCTGCATTGTTTTTTCATTTGAATCTCAGTCTTGCTTCATCGAGAATGGCTAGCAAATTTTATGTAGCTTAAAAGCAAAAGAACAAAAGTTCAGGCCAAATCCAGTCCATTTTGTTCAGCAGATAACATCTCCCCTTTGAATGCCCTGAAAATATGTGGCCATGCATATCGTGAAGTTCATTTAATCCCTACTTGTGTGCATGAAGCAGGAGTGGATTTCAGCAATGTTTTCCTGTAGGCTTGCGATGGTGTGGGGATGGGAGGAGTTAATTACTCTCTGGCCTGATTTACTTAAAGTAACGCTGACTCAGAGATCAAGGCTGTAGAAGCTCCTTCCAAGATCAGCATCCCACGCTGGCCTGAGGTGATTATTGCACCGTTCCAGGGCCCATACACCCTCCTGGTTCAGAACCTAACCTGAACTGCACTCCCAGCCTGACTCCCAGCCCTGGACTGGAGTGGTGCTGGGCTTCAGTGGGGGGCAGTGAGATTTCCTGAAAGCTCTAGTCCTTGGGGAGGTGTGTGTGTGTGTGTGTGTGTGTGTGTGCGCGCGCGCGAGAAAGGGAACCAAGCATTCCTTCTGCCAGTTGCTTAGTCCTTGGGGTATCAGAAAGAGAAGCAAACACTTCTTAGATCAATATTTTCAAGGCTTATCTGATGCAAGTCTCTGCCTGGAACTGGATCTTCAACTGTTTCTCCAGCATCTCTCTCTCCAGGGCGGGTATGAACTTGAACCCTTGTAATGAAAGGCCTGCAAAATTTGTGTGTATGTGTGACTATGATGGGGGAAGAGGGGTAATGGTAAATTCACAACTGGACACTTGGGGTGCTTGTTCCTTTACAACCAAGTTTCTCAACGTTTTTTTTTCATTATTGTCTCCACCTAAGAAACATTTCTAGACTTTCCCTCCTGAATTACACATCTCCTTGGAAATTTTAATAAGACTGATAAACTATATATCTAGTCATGTACTGTATGTATATCTGTGCTTGATACATAAAAGGAAAAATGTTTTTTGTCCCATTGGGGACCCTCTGGTCCCCACTCGTGCTTTGCAATAGTTCCCACCTGGTCCCCTTGGCAGCCTCTGCCATATAACAGCAGGAGCAATGCGGTTTAGCAGGTGCTGTGGAGTGTGAGCTAGTGCAGCCGGGCCCTGAGCAGGCGCCTGTGCAAGGAGCAGGCTTGGAACAGGAGAGCCCATGCTGTTGTCACCACTGCTCTCTTACACGCCGCAGTGATGTGTGCAGCCCTCTCAGGCGGTGGATTCCCATCATCCTCGAGGGCTGGTCAGAGGTCTGAGTCATTCCCAGCCTGGAGCTTCGACCAGAGCCCCTTGGGGCTGGGAAGGGAGTGAATTGGGCTGGGTGGGGACTGTGGCACCAGGGCGGCGCACCGTGCTCCACTTACACTTGGCAGCTGCTCCCGGCTGCAGCCAAGTGGTGCCAGGCAGCAGAGAGGGCCTAGCGGTGTGACTTCTGGTTTCTCAGTAGAAAATGGGAATCTGGATTTCGGATCAGTCTCCTGATTTGTCAGCATTGACTCAATTAAACAACAATAACGTATGTGGACCAAACAAAAGAGATGAAACCAAGTCGCATAGCTGGAGTTTCAATCCAAGTCCCCAAATGCAGTGCTTTTCCCACTTAACCCAGCGCCCACTCTGCGCTGCAGGACCCTCCCACTTCACCCCTTTTTGGGAGTTCTTAACACGTCTCCCTCTGGCCCTCCTGTCGGAGGAGAGGGCCCAGGCTGGGGCCCTTCCGGACTGGGACCAAGGCGGCTAGCTTCTCTCACCACCTGCCACCCCCTTTCCAGAAGGACTCGGATTTTGTCTGCAGAGGAAGAAGGTCGGGACTCCCTTACTCGTGGGCACCGGGAGGGCCGCGGGCTAGGACGGCTGGGAGGGCTGGGCCCACAGGAGGACGCGGGGCGAGCGTGGGAACGCAGACCCAGGGAGGGCGCGCCGTGGGCGGGGACCCGGGGAGGGCGGGGACCCGGGGAGGGCGGGGCGGGCGGGACCCGGCCTGGCCCAGCCTCTCCAAGCGCGGACCTCGACACCTAGGAGTGAAACAGCCCGTTGTCCCGCCGCCCTCTGACCCCCACTCAGGGCGTTGCCTTCCATTCTCCCGGGTCGCGGGTGGGAGGCGAGGAACGCCGGGGTGCAGGAGCTTGGATCCTCGCCAGGCCTGTGGCCTTCGGCCCCGGGGCCACCCGGCGGCGGCGCTGGGGCGGGAGGACAGACTGTCCCGTCTGCTGTAGCACGGCCATGGGCTCCGGCGGCTCGCACGCGGCGCAGATCCCCGACGCGGACAGCATTCGGCAGGAGACGGGCTGTGAGCGGGGCGTCGGGGCTCCAGTGGGGTCTTGAGGACGGGGGGAGGGGGCGAACCCAGGAGATCCAAGCAGGGATCGAGGAGCCAGGGGCACGGTACTCCGGGGCGGCGTCCAGGTCTGAGGCGGGGCCAGGTTCCCGAGCTGGGGGACACCCAGGCGTCCTGCAGCCCGGATGGAGGGGGTTAGCTTTGGTCCCTTGGTCTCCCGGAGGGGAGCACTGGGGCGCGGAGAGCCTCCCCGGGTCTTATCACGGCCCTTCCAACCTCCAGCTGGGCTCGAGTCCCAAGCAGAACGCACCCTCCCGCCAGCCCCCGACCCCCACCACCTCCCTGGCCACCTGGGCGTCACCCTTTCGCCCTCCCTCCCGCAGTCTCGCAGGCCACTCTGCTTCGCCTCTACCACCGGTTTCGGGCCCTGGACAGTAACAAGAAGGGCTACCTGAGGTGAGGGGGAGCTGGTCTGTGTCCTACCCCTCTGTGTCTCTGACCCTCCATCTTCCATCTCTACCCACCCTACTCACTTTGAACTTGCTTTCCAGCCGTGTGGACCTGCAGCAGATCGGGGCGCTGGCTGTGAACCCCCTGGGAGATCGCATTATAGACAGCTTCTTCCCTGATGGGTGAGACCTTGCTGGGCATGGAGAGATGGAGGGGGAAGCTTGTGGATCGGTGAGGGGAGATTAGGGATGGAGGCAGGAGGGCCAAAGTGACCACTGGCCTTGCTCCATTCTACCCCCCCCCCCCCCAGGAGCCTGCGTGTGGACTTCCCAGACTTTGTCAGAGTCCTGGCTCATTTCCGACCTGTAGATGATGAGGACACAGGAACCCGGGACCCCAGGGAACCTGAACCCCTAAACAGCAGAATGAACAAACTTCGCTGTGAGTTGGTAGGGCCCCCCCAAATGAGACCCCAGATTTGCCACACAAGTGAGCAGCCCCAGGCACCTCACACTCCCTTTATGAGCCTAGAGATGACTCCCCGCTCCTCCAGGGGGACCTGCTGGAAGAGAACAGGAGAACTCACCCTTCCCTCCACTTCCCTCCCAGTTGCATTTCAGCTCTATGATCTGGATCGAGATGGAAAGATCTCCAGGCACGAGATGCTGCAGGTCGGAAGAGCTCAAGAGCAGAGATGTGGCTGCAGGGTTGGGGGTTGAATGGAGTGGTTGTGGGGGCGGGGGGATAAATGGTGGTTTGGGGGTGCAAATAATTGGAGTGTTGGCTAAGCAACGGGAATGAGTGGGGCTGGAGTGTGGGTTAGCTGGGAGATTGGGGGGGCAGTTGGGTTTGAGTTTGGGAATAGATCAGTGGTTCTCAATTGGGGGTGATTTTGCCCTCTGAATGACATTGCCAATATCTAGAGACATTTTTGGTTATCACGACTGGAGAGGGGGCTGGTGTAACTGGCACCTAGTGGATGAAGGTCAGGAACGCTGCTAAACATATTACCATACAAAGGATAGACCACCTTCCTCCCACCACAGGGAGTGTTCTGGTCCCAAATGTGAATGGTGCTGAGATTGAAAAACTCTGGGATGGATGTGATGAAGTGGGGACTTGGGAATGGGTGGAGGGTGAGGTGGGAAACGGGGTGTAGAAGGGATGGAGGCTGGGTTCTGAGACTGCGGTTGAGGGTGGGAGTTGGTGTAGTAGTGCCCCCTGTGGCTGCCTCTCCCTCCACCTCCAGGTACTCCGGCTGATGGTTGGGGTACAGGTAACAGAAGAGCAGTTGGAGAGCATCACTGACCGCACGGTGCAGGAGGCTGATGAAGATGGGGATGGGGCTGTGTCCTTCCTGGAGTTCACCAAGGTCAGAATGCCCTTGGGGCCTGGGGACTTGACAGCCTGAGTTCCTAGGACAGACGGGCAGGGGAAATGAAGCCTGAGGAGAGGGGTTCCCAGGGAATGCTGGGGCCTTCGGGATGGGAGAGGAGGTTGGAAGAATAGAGGACTGGAATTCTAGTCCTCTTGACTACCACCCATCTCCACCAGTCCCTAGAGAAGATGAACATCGAGCAGAAGATGAGCATCCGCATCCTGAAGTGACCTTGTCTGTGTGTCTGGCCAGCTTGGAAAGACCAGTTCTGTCTGGAGTTCGTTCTCAGCCCCCCACGGAGGGACGGGCTTCAATAAACTATATTCTTCTACACGGGACTCTATTTAGGGTCAAGGAGACAAAACTGGATGGGTGTGTACCAAAGTCTAACTCATTCGATCTTAGATCTGCAAATCAGCCAACAATCCCTTGGTTGCAAGTGACTGAAATCCCAGGTCAAAGGGACTTCAGTTCAGAAGGGATCTGATGGGCTCCTGCAAAAGTCAACAAGTGTCTTCAGGCACAGCTGGAACCAAGAGCTCAGATGATGCTATCTGGACTCACTTCTCCATTTCTCAACCCATGTTTCGTGTGTTGGCTTCATTCTAGAAGGGTCTTTCCTCCCAGTGGAGGGTGGCCGCCGGCGCTCCCGGCTTCCTCAGTAATCCCGTGAGAACAGGTTTTCTTTTTCAATAATTTCAAACAGTGTCATTAGCTCATTAAGGCCTTGTTCCTTCTTCAGGGGAATGGAACGTTCTGATTGGCTAGTTGCTAGAGCGAGGCAATGGATCCCGAGGACTCAGGATGGGTAAGGGATGATTGCTTGAAGAACAACAAAGTGCTCTTTATTTCCAGAAGAAGGGCGTGGCGCTGGTCAGACAAAACAAGAGATTTCCATTACTGTTAAGTTGACCAAATGGATGGTTTCATGAAGTCTTCTTAAATGGGTTTCCTGATCCCATGGGTGTATGCTGGTGTGATTTGGGGGGAGGAGGGGGAGAGGTGATATAAAAATAATAAATAAGACATACCTTTCTATAGTATGAAATAATTCAAAGTTTTTGAGAGTAATTTTATTATTTTTAATGGTAAGATATTCAAATGTAGTTGCCTGGTGGGTGTGGCTCAGTGGATTGAGCATCGTACCGTGGACTGAGAGGTCCCGGTTCGATTACCCGTCAGAACAGGTGCCTGGGCTCCATCCTTGGTGGGGGGCGTGTGGGAGGTGGCTGATCGATGTTTCTCACATCGATGTTTTTATCTCTTTCTCTCTCAAAAATCAATTAAAACATATTTAAATAAAAGACATTCAAACCTTGACACATCACAAGAAGTGTGTGTAAGTCACATGAAATCGTTAAGATTCTAGGTCTGTAGCAAAGCACTTTGCTGTATCTGTGGGGGGCGCTGCCGGTGCGCGGCTCATGTCCTCGCCCAGGGCCCTGCTGCAGTTGTCTCAGGAGAACCAGCTGTGCTCATATCTCCCTAACTCTGTGCTCAGTGACTCACACCACACCTTGAAATGGGCTGTGGTGGGAACACACACACTACAGACGTCGGCAAATGCAGTAGGTGGGGCTTTTCTGCTTCCCGAGGGTCTGCGGTTGACCTTCGTTAGCTCTCCAGCTGCCAGGCTTCACCATGACTGCGTGCCAGTGGCTTCCGATGCCCCGCGTTAGTGAGGTATGACTGGTTTGCAGAAACTGCATGTAATTAATGTATAAAATTTGATGAGTTTGGACGTAATCAAGGTAACAAACATATCCATCATCCCAAAAATGTGTCCCTTTGTTTTTAGTGCTTTTTTTTTTGTATGTGTGTGGTAAGAACACTTAGCCTGAGATCTACCCAGTTAACAGAGTTTTAAGTGCACAACACAGTATTGTTAGGTGGAGGCACCATGTTGTACAGCAGAGCTCGGGAACTTACCTGTGTACTTGTAACTCTGTGTGGATTGGACAGCAGTTTCTCATGACCCCCCCCCCCCATAACTACCATTCTACTCTCTGCTTCTATACATTTGACTATTTTAGATGCTTCATGTGGCTGTCTTATTTCACTTGGCCTCCATATTGTCACAAAGGGTAGGAAATTTCCTTCTTACTAAAGACCAAATAATATTCCATTGCATGTATGTACCACATACATCTGTTGATGGACATTTGGGTTGTTTCCATGTCTTGGCTCTTGTGAATCATGCTGCAGTGAACACGGGGGTGCAGATATCTCGTCAAGATAGTGATTTCATTTCCTTTGGATGCATTCCCAGGAGTGGGGCTGCTGGATCATATGGTGGTTCTATTTTAATTTTTTGAGGAGTGTCAATGGCTTCTTCCCACAAGCCTGGGTGGTACTCTGCCCAAGGCTTTGCCTGCACACACATGCACGTAGCCTGTGTGAGGGGCAGGTGGTAGTGCCAGGAAGTTAATGACCCTTGGAGCAGCTCTCAACCAATGACAGAGGGAAATTGTGGGCAAGCACTCAGCGTCCTCCCCCCATGGGTGGGACAACTGAGAGGGGTGATCTCTCCAATCTGTGAAACCTCCAGCAGGTGGGGCCTCATGTGCTTGTTAGACCCCCATGGCGCCCCGTTGGCCCTGTCCCCCTCATCCCTGTCCCCCTCACTCCCTCCATCAGTGCTTCCTGGGTCCCTCCACAAGGAAACGCCTCTCAGCTCCTTGTCTCTGGTGCTGCAGAAACTCCCCCTTCGACGTGTCACACCTTCCATGACATGGGCACACACTCCCGTGCTGTGGGCACTCGGTGGGAAGCTGTGAGGGGGCACTGTGTCCAGCCGGGTGTCTGATTCCTGGCACTTTCTGACTGTAGGGGTCTGAGGTCATGGATAGGGCTGTGTACTGTTGGGGCTCGGGGTGTTGTCTAGGGTGATGCACTAACCCGGTTCAGCTTCTGTGTTCTGACTGCCGTGTGATTCTGACAGATGAGTTGGAGGAAGCGAAACAGGTATTCGATTTCTGAGGGAATTTTGTGATTTTTGTCAGAGCACTGTCACATGAACAAATACTTTGTGATTAAGGGATGTTTGTTCACTTTCTGGGTCTACTACAGGCGTATGTGTGTAGAAAACCCAGAGAGTCTATTTTTTCCCGCAGTATGGGGAAGCTTGGTGCAGAGAGAAATGGAGGAGAGAGACAGACGTGGACTTAGAGGCTATAGGCAGACACACAGTGACTGGCTTTCTTTGTGATGGATCTAGTTTCCCAATATAGCGTTTCTCAAATTTTGTTGATGGTAAATGTTGTGATTTAAAAGTTCAGACCCTTGCCTCATTTGAGAGCTCCTTGAGTCTCCAGGAAAATCTATATTTTAAATAAGAGATTCTGATGTTGGACATCCAAAGACCAAACTTTTAGAAACACTGACCTGAAGCTTCCAGCCAGACTCCCAGTGACAAATGTCCACAAGAGGTTCTCCAGGGTCCCCAAGGCACCGAGCATGACCCTGGCCCAGGCTCTGGGGAAAGACCTCCTGCCCACTTCTGCCTGCAAGTGCTTGGTGCCAATGAGTAGTGCCCCTGACCTAATGAGGGTTACTGTAGGCCCAAGGTTCCACTGCCGTTCTGGTGGATGAGGGAGCAATGTGCATGAAGGTGCCCTGATCCCACCCACGCTCAGAAGGGTGGGCACTTGGTCACACAAGGGACAGCAGCACTCTGGCTGCCATCACAGAAGCTATGTGGGCCTCACTTTCTGGATATCAAATCCAGAACTGTCTGTGGATTTGTTCTAGGGGACCCTCAGGACACCCTGAGGAGCAGCAGGTGCCAAATCTCAGAGATTTGTTTACCGCCCTCATTATTGTCGCAGTAGTTCTGTGAACTGTGCCTTTATTTATGTATTATTTGTCTACGAATCATTTAAGATGTACATATTTGTCCTGGCTGGTTTGGCTAAGTGGTTAGAGTGTCAGCCAGAGGACCAAAGGGATCCAGGTTTGATTCCTGGTCAAGGGCATGTACCTGGGTTGCAGGTTCAATCCCCGGCCGGGCCTGGTTGGGGTCATGCGGGAGGCAATCAGTTGATGTCTCTCTCATATCGATGATTCTCTCTCTCTCTCTTTCTTTGTCTCCCTCCTTCCCATCCTCTCTATCTAAAAAAAATCAATGGAAAAACATCCTTGGGTGAGGCCAGGCCAATGTGGCTCAGTGGATTGAACATTGTCCTGTGGACTGAGAGGTCCCAGTTCGATTCCCAGCCAGGGCACATTCCCGGGTTTTGGGCTCAATCCCCAGTAGGGGGTGTACAGGAGGCAGCTGATCTATGTTTCTCTCTCACATCGATGTTTCTATCTTTCTCTCCCTTCTCTCTCTGAAAAATCAATAAAAGATACTAAATAAATATCTTCAGGTGAGGATTAACAACAACAAAAGTACATATTTGAGCTTATAAAGGAAATTTAATATTGCCCCTGCACATTAGAAATCAGCCAAAATAACTATACAAATTCAATACATACAAAGACCCCCCCCCCCCCAATGTCAAAAAGGGAGATTAGCAAGTGTTAAAAACTTGTGAAAGACAAGCCTGCCCCGAACAGAGCTTCTCTTTGTGACCTGAAGGGGCAAAAGAACGGAGAAGGTGCCCAGCCAGCTAGTGTGGCTCAGTGGATTGAGTGTCGTCCTGAGAAGTCCTGGTTCTACTCCCGGTCAGGGCACATGCCCGGGTTCCGGCTCGATCCCCAGTAGGAGGTGTGCAGGAGGCAGCTGATCGATGTATCTCTCTCACATTGATGTTTCTCTCTCTCTCTCTCTCTCCCGTCCTCTCTTTCTAAAAATAATTAATAAAAACCAATTTAAAAAACCGAGAAGGGAACAACCTTTTGCTGTGTGATTCCGTGTGATTTAAAACTTCAGCAGTTCCATGGAAAGATCATCTTGTGTGCATGCGGGTCTGCTTCCCCCACTGTGGGAACCTCTGACGGAAGGCAGCCATGAGGAAGTGGTCCTGGGGGTGGTCTGCGTCCTGTGGGGACCAGTTTGGAGGCAGCATTAGTGGCTGGACACCCAGGCCGCTGCTGATCAGACTGAGTTCAGCCCACTCTCCAGGTGAGGTTCAGGGACAAGAGCAGGGCCTTATGACTGATGCTTTATTATGCAGCTGGAAAACCTGCCCGCACGCTGGGCTAAGAGGAGAGTCCTCAGCGGAGGGGCTGGAGGCAACTCTGGGCCAGTGTCCTGGACCCTCACTTGAGAGGGGCTTCCCAGAATAGGTGGGGGTTGGAGGTTGCTGCTGTCCCAGCTTGTGCCACCAGAGCTACTGGGAATGGCTTGAGCGGACCTGGCCTTGTCTGAAAGAAGCCACCTACATGTCCTGGAGAGAAGGTGGGTTCCAGATAAAGCTCCCTTCCTGGCCAGGCTGGTGGGGCCCGCGGCAGTGTGTGTAGGGAGCCCGGGGGAGAGAAGCAGTCGGAGGACCTAGGGAGAGACGGTGGTGGACCTAATGGAGGCTACCATCGCCTCTTCCCAGCTTACCAGGGGAGTGGTTCAGAATTCAGAACCTGGCTCCCAGGTAGAAAGAAACTGAGATATCCTCAGCCCCACCCAGCCAACACCAGTAAAACTCGTGATGTTTACGAGGCAGTATACAGACTTGATTCCTGCTGTCGACCAACCCTGAGAAGTGGTGTGGTTCAGGAGGAAGAACTTGCGTTTCGTAGCTCTGATGAATCTGAGACTGAGCCCTTTGAAGTGCTCATACCACCTTGGGTGAGTTGCTTTGCCCTTCAGACCACTGTGTTGTTACTTTTGGTCCCCGAGTCTGTAAGTCCTGCGGTGCAGCCCCCTCAGCCTCCATGATCTGTGAAGGCGACAGGCACCGCCTGGCAGAGGTGTGTCTTGACCCTCCCTACCCTCTCCATCC